CCCCAAAACCCCAAAACCCCAAAACCCCAAAACCCCATATATCATTTATTTATATAAAATAATGTCCGTATTCACAAATCGCAGGAAGAGCGACATCATCGGTACCTTGATTTATTCATTTGTTAGAGTATAAATTTAATATCCAATTTTAGAAAAACATCAAAAGAAAATGGTTTCACGAGGAAGGAAAACCTTCGTTGATCATAAAACTCAGAGCTCAGGACTTGGCTTGCCCAAGATCTCTCCATCTAAGAAAAGCAAAGAAATTTTGAATAATTTTTACCCGAAATCTTTGAAATTAAATCGCTTAAAACTTGCCTCACAGGCTAGTCACACCTCCACACGCTCGAACTACAAATCCGGGATTCCTCCAAATTCGAAACAGCTAAAGACAATGAGGGCTAAGAAATTCATTGAAGATGAGGAGGAAGAAGTATTCACCATTAACACAAAGCATTCTAAGCTTGAAAGGTACACTCTCAAAGACATTTGTCTCCAAAACGAGTGGAAAGAAGTCAAGCATACCATCTCTGGCTCTCTAATGTGGTACATTGGCCCATTAAGGGATATTGATATCAAAATTCTCGCTTACAAATAAGTGTTACTTCAACAGATACCCAAAATCAAACCTAATTTGAAGAAAGAGCAGGTTTCATAGTATAATGAGGAAGTATACACGGTTCTTCCCTGACCAGTTCAACTTCATTCCGAACACATTCATACTACCAGATGAGTTCAGGCAGTTCTGCCGGACTTTTAACAGTAATCGGGAAAGAGTCTACCTAGCAAAGCCATCCATGAGCAAAGGAGGAGAAGGCATCTTCTTTGTCAAGAGTAAAAGAGATGTCGCTAAAGATCCTTCTAAGCCAACTAGTCTGGTAGTACAGGAATATATCCAGAACCCTCTCCTCCTCGGCAAAAAGTTTGACCTCAGGATTTATCTACTAGTTAAAGGAGTCAAAAATCTTGAGGCTTTTGTAGCAATGGAGGGTATGGCTAGGTTCTGTACCGAGGATTACACTGATCCTCTAGATGCCCTTTCTAATGAAGAAGAATCCAAAACCAACAGTTTATTCAGCCATCTCACTAATTTCACACTTAACAAAGAGAATGAGAAGTTTAAGACATCTAAAGACTTCAAAACGAAGGATGAAGGGTCAAAGAGACTTCTCTCAACCGTCCTCAAATCCCTCAAGAAGGAAGGAGCTGATGTTGAGTCCATTAAGAACCAAATAAGAGATATTGCTACAAAAATAGTGATTGCCTTTCAACCTTTCTTGGTAAACACATACCATACAGAAGTCGGCATTGAAGGTGAATCTAATCAAAATTGATTTCACATTTTCGGCTTTGACATTCTGATCGATGATAACAGCAAATGATGGCTGATGGAGGTTAACTCTCAGCCAAGTATGAGCTATGTCCAAGAACAAGTTGTCACTGACGAAAATGGGATGCCTAGAACCCAAAAAATCCCCTCTGAAATTGACAAATACCTAAAATAATGTGATCCTCAAGGAAGCTCTTGACCTAGTAATTGATAAAGACCTCTGAAACATGAAAAGCTTCAAAACCGCTGCCAATCGTGGATCGAAAGGTAAACTTTAGGTGTTCAAATTTGGTAATTTTAATTATAGAAGGCCCAGTCTACGTTTTTGAAAAAGTCTTCCCTCCTAGCGACACTAAAAAGTACTCGAAATTTATGATTTACAACGAGATTAGGGTACTTTTCGAACTGCTGGCGGGTTACAAAAAGCCGGACAATCTGACAATCTCCCAATTTCAAAAGTTATGAAATTACCCAGGAATGAAGAAAGATACTTTCAAAAAGCCGGATTATACGATGCTTTATCAAAGTTGTAAGAAAAGGCTTAGCAAGAACGAAATGACACTAGATGGGTTCACAACTGCTCTCGAGCACCTCGCTTGTCATATATATCCCGAAGTAGATAGTAGCTACGAAAGGCTGAAGACTCTTGTAGCTCATGTAATCTCTTATGCATCACGCTAGATTCTTTCTTATTTCAATTTGATCATGAACTCACGGGGTTTTGGGGTTTTGGGGTTTTGGGGTTTTGGGGTTTTGGGG